CATTTTTGTGCTGCCCACTTTTGTGTTATTGTCTATGTAGTGGAATTCTAGATGATGTATAATTGTATATTTTTCTCTATGCTCACTGACACAGGAATGAGGGTGCCATACAATAAGTGAGTGTTGGGAGAACTATAAACTAAATAATGCTATAAGGGAAATGCTGCCTAAAGACGCAGGCTATGGCAAGTAGGGCTCAGAGAGGGAGCTCATAACTTCCCGATAATACTTCACATAAATTAAAGTAATGTTAATTGTTTCTCCCAAAGCAAGGCCATTAAGCAATTTATTGCTCCTACCTTAAGAATTTATTTTGGTATTTCTTGTGGTCCTACTTTTTCAATGGTATTTCACTTTTTACCCAGAGGGGATATAAACACCTTCATGAGAGTCCTTTCTGGTGTATTTCATCTCTAAGGATAATAAGGGGAGGAAATAAATGACTAAATGGGTCCTGATGAGCTGTGCAGCAATCAAAAACAAAAGGCTCCAGAAAGAGATCAATAGGTGGAGCTTCATTCTGAAACACAGTTCCTAACAAGTGGAAAGAGTAAGTGTGTCTACCTGGTTATGAAAAACTAAACAGAAGAATTTTCTGTTTCATTTTTTCCATTGTTGAGGTAAGACATTTGAACTGTGAAAGAAGACGTCTCCTACTATGTACCAGCTATTAGGTGTAAAGCCCTAACACAATTGCTTTCTTTGTTCGTCTGTCAGTACCTTCCCGTGTAATTTTCAAGTTTCTCAAAACTTTGCAAAGTCCTCTGCCTGGTCATTTACAACTGATCCAAGGTCAGAAAAGGACAGCTTAGTTGGAAAGGGGGAAAAAAAACAAAGAGAAAAAAAACAAGAACGCTAAGAAGTTATATAAATGTCTTCTAGCACATCCCCTGTTCTGAGGGCTAATGTACTGTAGCAATTCATCAGTCATTCTAATAGTCTTAACTTCTGTCAGAAAGCCTACTAAATGGTAACATCTTAAATGTTTAATATTCTAAAACATATTTTCATTAATCATGCAAATTATCTGGGCATCCATATTTTACAATAACCTCTTTTGAGATTAAGAGGCCTAAGGCTTTGTGTATGAGAGACCCCTGTTAGTGAGATTGTAGGTGAAATATAACTTAGAATTAAAGGATTTTAGCAACGAACAGTTGCTAGTAAAATTCCAGTGTCTATGTGCCATGACATTTATAAAAAAAAAAACCCAAATGCTATTAATGTCATATTTCTGATTAAGTAGCAAGCAGCTAAAATATGCATTTGCTTCATTCTGTTTTATTACGTAGTTGATGGATGGATATTAATGTTGGTAGATGGTATATTGTCCCAATAGAAATGACCCTGTGTTTCATAGCAGACCACTGTGAGCTTGGTTATTAGTAAAGGATAGAACATGTGTTCCAAGCAGTTAGGTTGGCTCCAACTGTACCACTGTACCATGAAAACCTCCATTTATGTGCTGCCAGTCACCCCTATTCCAGAGATTCTTAGCTGCTTGGAAAAAGGAGAAACAGGTGTGTGGGCCCCATGAAACAGATGGATAAGGAATTGAAAGGGGTAAAGGGCATGAGTTTTGGTAGTGTTAGTGGAAATGCTTTACCCTAAAGCTATTGGTCAGTAAGGGTGGAGGCTAATAGTGAAATAGATAAAAATGACCTGAGACCATGTAAATATAGTTGTGCTGGAGTCACAGAGCAGTGCTCATAGACTCAAGAAGATGACCTAAGTAACTGAAAGTCGTGAGTGATGGTGGATCAGTGCACTAGCCTGGCTACCAACAAGAAGTAGATGGCACAATCAAATTAGGATAATTCAGAGAAGGCTTATTTATAAAGGGACTAATTGCAAAGATCGGGGCAGGGCAGAGAGAAGGGAACCCTTAAAGGCTGTGCAGGTAGTGAGCTAATAGCCACAGAGCTGTTATTAAATCTAAGCCTTTGGAAATGAAAGAAAGGAACAATTACCAGAATCTGAAGGAAAGAGAGTCATGTACAGAATGATATTCTTAGGTGACTAGTGACCTTTGATTAAGGGAGACAGGCAACGCAAGGTGATGTCATGGAGCAAATAAATACCCTGACCTCATTCCTCTCTCTCTCCCTCCAGTCTTCCCCCCCCCCCAGTCTCCTGATGGGGCTTCCCATTCATTGAGCCCAACAGGAACTTGAGGGCACAGATCAAGGATGTAGTCCATATAGGTGAGCCTCTCTAAATGGACATCAGGGCTTCACATGTGGAGAAGGGCTCTGGAGGAAGACATGCAGGGTCAGAAACATCTAATTTTGGTATAAATACCACTTCTTTGGTTACATGACCAAAATTCATAGTCATACTTTGCATGATTTTCTTATGTCCTTTGTTGTTGTTGTTTTACTCATTTCTTAAATTTTCTTTTATGGTTACCTTCTTTTTTTTTTTTAAGATTTTTATTTATTTATTTGACAGAGAGAGACACAGCGAGAGAGGGAACACAAGCAGGGGGAGTGGGAGAGGGAGAAGCAAGCTTCCCGCTGAGCGGGGAGCCCAATGCGGGGCTCGATCCCGGGACCCTGGGATCATGACTAGAGCCGAAGGCAGACGCTTAAGGACAGAGCCACCCAGGCGTCCCTTTTATGGTTATCTTCTTTAGCAATATCTCCTGCTGCTATTTTCATTAACAAAATTTCTAGTAGCAATCCTGCTTACCCAGTACGCACACATGAATCACCTTACCCTCTGAGGAATCAGATATTTAAAAAAAATATATTGCCAAATGCTATCCAGACAGTTCATTATTCCCTCTATACAGCTTTTTTTAGTATAACAGTGTGAATTTTAATGTCTGTAGTCTGTGTTGCTAAAGGGACAGTGAAGTCTTCACTTTTTTTCATGGTTTGCCTTCTAATCATATTTCTCTAGTAAAATATTTAACCATTATTTCCTGAATCATAGGTTCTAAGGTGCAGTAAAAAAAATCTAAAGGGAAATATATTTGTTGCTATATAGAAGGACAGATTTTTTTTTTCCAGAGCATTTCAATGATTGCTGCAGGAATGAATGAGTAAAGGTTTCAAGAATGAAATAGTTGCAGAAAACCCACTTACTTTTGTACATAAGTCCATGCAGCAGCCCTCCGGGTACAAGTACTTATGTATCTCCTTTTGTTGAGTTCTCTATTTTTTTATGAATATGCATATTGGGGAAAAAACTTCCATCTGCTCTCTTTTAGCTGATTATATCACATTTTGGAGCTGTGCATCATTATGGAGCTTCAGAGAAAGATGATCATTTACATTACATATGGGTATAAAGTAGAGAAGGAGTTGATGAATTGCAAACAAGTATAATTTATATGGACAAAGTGTGCCAGAAGTGCTTTTCACCCCATTTTACTCTGCAAATGGAATGATTCCTGCCCATTCACTTGGCGTGGTGCCCAAAAACTCGGCGAGGAAAATGATCCCGTTAGCCTTCAGCATCAGGATTCCATTCCTTCCCATGCAGGAACAGTGCTCTGCACTTCAGGCCCACCAGGGACCCCAGAAGGTCAAAGGAGATCTCTGAACACACTAATGCCATTTTAAAGATTTTCCCATCATGGCTTCTTAATTTATAATATACATCACGCAGACACACTAATACTCAAACTGTTGGTAATTCAAATGTGAGAAGTTTGCATGATGAAGAAAGAAAGGGAGAGTAATGAAAAGCTTGTATTTTCCTCTGCACTGTGATTTTCCCATGGCAGATCATTTGCCTAAAGGCCCATAAACTTCGTAAATATGTAAAAATCTACATTTAGGGTGTCTTTCTAAGGGCTTCTATCTGGGCTAGAGCAGGGTTGGCTGTGACTCCATATTATAAAGACCAGGGAGGGCCCAAGGTGCTGTATTAGGAGTAATGACCTCAGATCTTTATTTTATTTCATTCATTAATACAGGCAGTTATTTATATAGTCAATCATTCAGTCTTCAAAAATGATCATTCCTATTATGTGCCAAGAGTGAGGAAACAAAACTAAATGCAACATAGCCTCTTTCTAAACTGTCAGAACTTGACAAAGGAATATTCTATCGTGACAAAATGGTCATTTATCTGGGAAGTTCCATTAAATCAGCTGATTCTCACTGCTGCTGGACAATACAGTTGTCCTAGCCCTCAGACTATCTGTGTCTGAAGAATTTCAAATCACCACAAGCCCATGCCTGTATTATGGTAGCACGTACACTGCTTTCATTTTGTGTTCAGATACCAGTTTTTATGCACACTGCATGCACTGTGCTGAGTGTTTTGCATACGTTATCTCATTTAACCAGCACAGATATATGAAATGTTAGTATTATAGTTATATATATTTCATAGAGAAAAAAAAAACACAAACAAACCTAAGCTCAGAGGATAAGTGACTTACCCAAAGTCACATAGTCCTCAAACCTGGGTCAACATTGGGTGTGATCAGATGAATTCAACAGTAGGACACGGGATAGGCTAAAGTAAGGGTTACTTCTATCTTATTTCTGTAGCCAGAAAACCTGGTCAAATTTAGAAACTGCTGTTCTTTTACCTATATTTAGTTCCTATTCATTTTTCTCTCAACCTTTACATAATTCTAGCATGACTTCCCACTTTATGAAGGAGTACTTGAAGTGTGCATCCGGATTAGTTATACAGTTTTCTTTGTTCGTGTGGGGGGATGGAAGCGTGTCGTGTGTGGTGTGACAGAGTATCTAAAATTTCTTCATATTATTTTTCTCAGAACTTGGGCTTGTAACGGAAGTTTCTCAACATGAAATGTCATCATGTCATCAATTTGGCCTCACTCAGGAAGTTGCAAGGCGCTTGACTAACCTCAATGAATTGGATGTTGTCTAAAACCTGATAATCTTTAGCTGACTATCATTTTAGAAGTTTTAAGAGTTAATTTATTTCTTAACTATCTTGGAAATTTAAGTGGTAAAAAAAGAAAAGCTTCTGATAAAAAATTTCAGAGGGAAAAATATATTGGAACTTATATCAGCAATACAATTAAGGGGGCAGAATTTAAATGTTCTTATCAAAAAAGTATTATGAAGAGTTTATCCATTTATCTGGACTAAAATTTCTCTAACCATGCATACTTTCACCACACACTTGAATTTGTAAATATAAGATATTCCTAGGATCAGAACAATCATGGCATTCCAGAACAGTTTTACAACCTTTTTGTATTGAAAGACTCAGTTTATTCCAGTGAGAGGCTATGGCAAGATTCTAATGCAGATTATATGATCCAAAAGGCCTTTACTGGCATAGTCTTGGGCAGCATATACATTCCATGTCTCAAAATTGTTGAGTGAATAAATAAATGATTGAGACTGGGACTCTCACCACATTTCAACCTGGAAACACAAAGCCATCTGGTAACCATTAAAATACCAACTTTCTAACCACCTTCACATCCACTCTTGAAAGGCTCAGACTCATGTCTGTCTCCTAGCCAAAAGCAGCAGAAGGTCTGTCTTTACCTTACAACCTTGGGTGAACTATGTCTTGCCTTTTTACTTCTCTTTATCCAGCGTCCATGGTTGAGAGAAAAGCCCAAGGAAAATGAGCAGCAGGGATCCAACAGATGAAATGAGGGCAGCAGCGATCTGTTAGTGTGATACATACTTTTGCTACAGATATCCTTTTCAGTGCTGTGCTATGTGATGGGGCCATCCTTCTGGCAGCTTGAACCCCGTAGTGTCTCCACTCCTCCCTCCTCCTCTCTTTGTAAGAAACCAGTCTCTCTTCCTCTTCTTCAGCCTCCTCAAGACCTTTGCAGCACTTCCACTCAAAAGTATATCCCCAGATCCTTGACTGGGTACCAGATCTTCATTTTGAAGGAATAGAAGTTGTGGCTGAGTAAGCTTCACCAGCGATTTCTACCATTTTACAATCAGGCAGTTCGTTTCATCCTTCCTAACCTACAATTTCTTGGTATCTTCATAAAGAGGCTGTACTCTCTAGAACTACCTGAGGCAGCAGGTTGGTTAAAGTTTAAAAATTATGGTCAGTGGCTGTGCTGTGTCCAAGGAGGTCCTAGAATAATCTGTTTATTAGAGTTGTAGCCATAGTCAGGAGCAGGGCCATGATGGAGGCAGCATGTTGGAAATTTGAAATTGAAACACTATTTCCTGCTGTGGAGAGGGAAGAATAGAGAGTAGGCATGTGATTTACTCCTGACCTGGGCACTGCATATGGGATTAAATCTCATGGATCTGGAAAAATATACTGGAAATTAACAATGTAATACTGTCTCCCAGCATTTGAAATAACACTTTGTATTTCCTGATTTTTCCTAAGGTATTGTGTTTTATTTTTTAAGAAACTTTTAGATCACTTTGGAAGGTATTTACCTATAGACTAAGGACATTGATTTAAATATAAATATGGAATGTGTTATATGAGAATAATTATTATATTCATTGCACTCCGGCAAATGTTTCCTAAATGCCCACTCTGTACCTGGTATAATACCAGGCACCAGAGATTAAAAAGGCTAAACAAAATAATAAGGAGATCATGGTCTTGTGGAAAGGTAAGCGCCTCTCAAATAGATAAAGTATAATATGGTAAGTCCTATAACTGACAGAGATACAAGTTGCTATGGAAACCCAGAGGAGAACACCAAAGGAAATCATGGAAGGCCTCACAGAGTAAGTGACTTTCGTGATGAGTCTTAAGACAGAAAGCAAAGGGAGACTCTTGGATGTAGAAAATAGCAGGAGCCACTCCAGGAAAATAAATAGCATAAGAAAAGTCACAAAGGAAGTGGTGAATTTGTGGAATTGCAAGAAGACTGTTATGGCCAGAGAGTGTAGAGTGAGAGGTGGGAGAGGAAAGGTATGACTCATAGGGTAGGTGAAAAATGGTTGAGAAGAACCTTATATATCCCGGAAGAAAGTTTAAAAATTATACTAAAGATAGTGAGGGGCTATAAAAAAATTTCAAGCCGGAAGTACATGATTTGATTTACATGTTAGATCTTTTTGGAGGCTGTGTGGAGGATAGATTGAAAGGTAGGGCACTGGTAGAATAGAGGTCCGTTGGAAAGCTATTGCACTGTTTCATACATGAGCTCATGAGCTTCCAAAGCAAGACAGCAACCATGGGAATGGATAGAAAGCCATGAATGACAAAACGCTTCTAGAGGTAGGACTTGATTATATATTGAATCTATATGAGAAGGGTATACGTGAGATGAAGTGAGAAATGATTTTCTGTTTTGGGTAATTGGTTGGGTATTGGTGTCATTAAAGAGAGAGTTTTGTTTGGAATAAAAAAGTAGAGACAAATTTGTAGAGAAAAATCCAAGATTTGGGTATGTTGATCTGAAGCTTCTAGAGCGCTATGGGCTGAATTGGACCCCTTTCCCCACAAATATGTATGTTGAAGCACTAACCCCCAATGTATGATATTTGTAGATGGTGTTTTGGGAAGATAATTATGTTTAAATGAGGTTGTCAGGGTGGGGTCTTCATGAATGGATCAGTGCCCTTCTAAGAAAAAACACCAGAAAGCTTGCTATCTCTGATGAGAGGACGCAGAGAGAAGGCAGCTATCTGTGAGCCAGGAAGAACTCTCACTAGAATCCAACCATGCTGCAACCTGATCTTGAACTTTTGGCCTTCAGAATTCTCAGAAAATAATTTCCGTTGTTTAAACCACCCAGTCTATGATATTTTATTATGGCAGCCTGAGCTGACTAATACATTGAAGTATTCAGGAAATCAGATAACACAGAGCTGGGGTTCAGGAGACAGACTGAGGTGAGATAATTCATTTGGGAATCTCACTGTTAAGAGAGATTTTGTCTAGAGGTCTAATATAAAAATACTTTCAAGTACCACTAATCTGGAAAATGGCAAGTGCACATACTTCTTTTTATTATTAAAATTAGGGTATTTCACAATTAAAAATATTTACAATTAAAGATGAAACATCTGTACAATTATTAAAATTCATTTTACTAAATGAGAATCAACAATATCTTGTTATCTATACTTTTATACCAGATAACAGTGAAGAAATTAACAAAAAATAATTACTAAAACTCCACTGTGGATCAGGATGAAATGTCTCCAGTATTAATTCACACTCTCCCATTAAGTATAAAAATGAGTGTGAATGCTGCTTGGACAGTTGGTTAAACAGACACATGCTCCATTACTATTTGTTGAATAACAAAACACAAATGCAAAACTGGCAGGTATGAAAAAAGGAGTTTTTTTTTCCTGCAGAATTTATCATTTCACACTTAAAGCTGAATAAAGCTTATCTCACACATATCAAAGACTTACACTATAGCTTTTCTAACACAGGCAGGTGAAATATTAACAGGTAGCATTTAAAATAATAAATATACATACTATTTACAATAATTGGGAATGTTAGAGACATGAACTCTTATGTAAAATCATTTAGATTAAAACATTTTAACTTTAGGCTGTATCGGCAAATGCTTTCTTTCTCTCCTGTTTGATCTTTTAGCTCAAGTAGGGTTAAAATGGAATGCATCTATAGATATAAAGTTGAGAAAGTGTGTTCAGTCACTTGGCTCTGTGATAGTAATCTTCTGTACCATGTCAGAGAGATTTTCAGACTCCAGATCTTCTTTGCCATTATCTGAATTTTCTGATGAGATATAACAACCAGAGTCCCTTGGGCAGTCGTCTAACTGTGACTTATTTAAGGAGATGTCTGGGCTTAAGGATAGGGGCACAGGTTCATTTTCTTGCTCTTGAATAGCTGTAAATGGAAAAGAGGAGAGCAGTTAGGAGGAGCCAAGACAAGTTTTATTCACGTACTCATTCGCCTTTGAGCTATTTTAACAGTACTAACCTTGACTTCATTACATTTGAAACTTCCGTGAGTAAACAATATATTTGTTTATTATAAAAGAGATATTTGCACTCAAATATTCAAGCCCTGCTTTCCTAGAAGACAAAGTTTGCTCCCCCCCCTTTTTTTTGCTTGCTTGCAGTTTCATGGAATTCATGTGAACTGCTTGCATAAGCGAAGATCAATATGGACTTTCTTACATTAATGATAAGTTGCCAGAGAAAGCAGATTGTATCCACAGTTTGACTGATGCCTTGTCCAAATACTCCTTAAAGTAACATTAGAAAAAGTCATTTGTGGTTTAAATGTAAAATCCAACTCAATGGTGATCTTTGTGGACAGTTCTGGAATCATGATAATGTGGAATAATGAATAAAATATCACTCTGGGCAACAATGTATAGTAGGACTTCAATTACTTGGAATTTAAGTAATAAAACTTAAAGTATTCAGAATTTTCCTCTGTTTGCATTCACCAGAAAAATCAACATACAGACCAGGTTGCTCTTAGATAGTAAAACACCACCATTTTCACTGACTCTGCCTTATTTAGTCTTCTACATCTTTGTAGTTCTGAAGAACAATTATTTATATTCAGATTGGTAACTCTGTTATCAAAGCAGTATTCTAGATTCAACAGACTTTTTCTTTCAAAAAAATTAATACTAGAGATGTAACAAAAGATACTTTGAAGAACCTAAGCAGCACTATGAAGTTTTACTCTTCTCAAGAAGCTTTTAGCCTCAGAATTCTCTTGGTCAATGTAAAGTTTCTTTCCTTGCCTTCCCTGACACCAGTTAATGTGTGTTTCTCTGCATCATGAGATGGGTCCCTCAGGGAGGAGATTATCTTAGGCCACCACCTGTCAGCTCTATCAGCATATCTAACCTCAGAGCTTCTCCGCTTTAGACATTTGAATAACTCCACTTTGGAAGAACCAAACGCATACATTTCAGGGTGGGACAAAACCTCTGCCTTCGGAGGCTATGTACTTCATCCTATTCTGGTGAGAAGAAAGTAAATCCCAACTCCAAAATCCTGCAAGAAGGAAACTGTAATGTTCCTCAACAGACTTTATAAAAGTAAAATGCTAAGTAATTTATCTTTAGGAAATCCACCCTTTATCTTGCCTACAGATACCCTGCTTTTTTAAATGCATTTTCTAGGCTTCAGATACCTTGCCAACATTATGTTCTACTGTGCATCCAACTGTTTATCAACATCCTTTACGAGAGAGAATTGAGCCGTGGTGCCCTAAGGCATCCTTGTATGTAATGAATTCACTTCTCAAGGTATCTAGAGTGGTACTCATTTATGTACCATCCACAGAAGAATTGAGAAAAGAGTCACATTAGTTTTTGTATTCTGTGGTTTAGACGACGAATACAGGTGGAGAAAGGTTGGGAAAAAATGATAAAGATCATTTTAGTCTACTCATCTTCAAAATGAACCATAACAGTTCTTTTAACCTTTTCCTCAGAGCTCTAATTTGCAACAATAAAACCATGTTTATGCCATTCTTCTGAATTTTCTCCATGTTTGCCACAACTTTTTTTTAACTGTGGACTCAAATATCAGGTATTTAAGGCCAGTGATGTTATTATAACTCATTCTAGGTATCAGGAGCTTTAATTTTAATATGCATCGAATGTGACTGTTTACAAATTTTAGCCACCATGAAGCATTTTCTCTTTATAAGTCTTAGCAACCGTGAAGTTTAGGGAGAATCTTCTTAATATTCACTAGTGTTTGTGAATGTCAGTCAGTCAGTTTTGTTTCCAAAACCGCCTTGATGAAAAGACAGCCCTAAAATGGGACCTCATTCTCTGAAGGAAAGCTTTCTCCCCTGCCTCTGCTTTTCTGTCTTCTTGCCACTGACGTGAAAGAACCAGCTCTGTGTTTCATTTCCAAGTATTTCTGGAAAAGGCCAGAAAAATTAGTCCTTTTGTAATGCTTCCTGCTACTTCAGCAGTGGTTCACCATATTTGGAGTGTGACCCTAGGCCATATTTCCCCAGATTATATTTGGGCCTATCACCTCAACACAAAATTAAAAGAACTTAGTTATTGCTCTTCAGACCGACATTTTAAACAGGACTTAGCATAATAAAAATTGCTCCCAATACTGTGTTCTATTTAGGCTGATTACTGATTGTGGGATTCTCTTCAAGATATAAGACTTGGACTTAAAGAACTCTGATTTCCAAAATTAGTTCTTTTTCTTCCAAAAAATAAGTACTTAGCTTGGTATTTCGTCTTCAGAAGCCTCTATCCATTCCCCTCAAAGGGTAGCAAAGTAAACAAACAATAAATGAAAATCTGATGCTAACAGAGAATATGTCATTTTTAAATATTGGTAATAAAATGTATTTGTTTTTATTTTTGCCTGAGAAATGCTATGTCACCTTCTCTAAATTCTCAGAATTGGTTTGTTTTAAATACAGATTATTTATTATAGGAACCCTTTATCTGCAATTTTTATGGAAAAAGGAAATAGTTTCTCAGTATGAAAGTTATGCAGCACAGTAATTTACAGAATAGCAGCAATTTGCTAAATGATTTCCTAGTGAAATGAAAACATGACTTTGCCTCCTCAAATGCTTCCCACCAGGCTGGCAATAATTTCAGGCAGGTGATCAGCTGGAGCCCCTCAACTGTAACTATAAAAAGAAAAGGCAGGTCATTATGTTATATTATGGAAATGAAAGCTATATAGCATTCAGTTTTTGTGTTTGGAGGGTCAAGGTTTTCCTTTTCTTGTTTTTTTTGTTTTTTTTCCATCCTGACACTAATGACTTCGGGATTGGCACAAACCTAGGTCTTGTGCTATGGATACTTTTTCCAGCAGGGGGGCTGAATTCATGCTAATATGTCCATATTTTCTTTCTAAGTCATTTAGTCCCTTCGTGTGGCCATGAAACAGAGTAAAGCTAACTGATCCACCTCGAAATTGAAACTATAACTTTCATCAGTTTTAGCCCATGGTCCAATCATCTGAGCTAACCAGGCAAATAACACATTGGGATAAGAAACAGTTTGCCTCCAAAATTACAGACTTGCCATGTAAGATATGAGTGCATCTTTTTTTATATCAAAATATTTCTGATAATATGTTAAAAAATCAATATATATGATTAAGTATTCTATTACTAAAATTATGTGAAGACCTATAGACTTATGCATATAATTGACACGTGAAAGTGTTAAAATTTTAGATAGATTTTCTCTATATTTCTCATGTCATCTATAATGTCTTATATTTTAATTAAAAAACAAAAGAAATTAAAATGGTACAGTTTTTCAATAAAACCCCTGCATAGTTTGCAAATATTCCAAAGGCTATACATTTTCAAATCTGGGTATATTGGAGAATTATTAAATAATTTGAAAAAGGGTGTCTCTTATTGCTGCCAGCTAACAGCAGGCATAATCAGAAGACCAGAAAGCAACCCCAAACATTTCTGTACTCGATATCATGAAAATAAAATAATTACATTAAGGAAAAATTATTTAGGAAATATTTTGTCATGAAGAACTAATTTGAATATTAAAATATATTATTTCGTACCAAATTTTTATGGAATCATGTAAAGCCCATGGTTCAACATTTTAAGATAGTCATCGATAAAGATAAAAAGTGGCATGGTGATTAGATTAAAACAGAAGACAGCTAATATAATTATTCATAAAATAATTATATTGGAATTGTGACATTTAATTAATTAAGTATAGGCAATCTCAATTATACTAAAAGTGAAGAAAGCTTTAAGGAATTCAAACTAAATCGTAATTCTGGGAAAAAGTTCTCATATCCTAAAGAGAGAAATCTGTCCTATATTCACATAGGTTTCTCTCTCAACTTTCTTCACCCAAATATTCCAGATTTTGCCTTTACTTTTAGGTCTGAAGCTTCTCTTTCTTTGGGCTTCTGTTTCTTTTGGGTACTATAAAATAATGCAATCTACAGGGCATAAGAAAATGCCTGGCCAATGAAAGTGTTCAATAAGCAATTTTTTTTTAATAAAAAGAATGTGATGTTTAGATTAATTAAAGGAAGTAGCAACTAAAGATCAAATAAGAAATTTCGTTGAAATTCAAATGAAGATACCTCTTGGCTCTTTGAATTATTGTCCCCTTTTTCTCTCCTGGTGCCATCTCCAAAGAGGAAAAACCAAGCTATGTCATCCTCTCTGAGGATGGCTCAAAACCTCAACTTCATGTTGGAGTCCCATTTGAGTCACTCAGAACAGAACTCGGGCATTCTCCAGGTATCTACGGCTGTGTTTATTTGTCCAGAGGCAGTGTTGTACAAGGAGGAACATTCAGTGGACAATATGGCGAAACTCTTAGTTATTTCTGATTTCATCTTAAGCACATCCTTAAATTACCTGAACATGTTAGTTTTATAACAATGACTTTTTGGTAATCATGTCATTTGAATACTAACCTACATTTGGAAAAACAACAAATGGAAAACAGGAATCCCTTCATGGAATAACAACCAGTTACTCTTGTTTTCCTGAAGCCATGAGAGAATAGGAGTTGAAATGATGCTCCCTCTTTTTGCACATCTCTCTTTGCATCTTAACAGCGTAGTCTACCTTCTGATGAGATGTGGGCCACGCAGTGAATCTTTGCACTCACATTCACAGCAACCTCCCCTTGCACCCTGCTGACTGCCTCAGTAAGGGTAGAGGCACCCTCATCTGAGATCTAATCGCTCAGCAGCACCCAGATGCTGAGGATCCGGATGCATCTGCCTACTGCAAACACTTCTATCTGTGAGGTGGGATTGCTAGGGACTTAAAGTTTTATAATCAGAAAAAAGTTTCCTTATGATTTACAAGTCTCTTTATTTCCTCGTTCTACAAGCATTTGTTGTTTTATTGTTATTGTTTTTGTTTTTCAT